TGCGAGACATCTTGCTTCTGACTCTCTACCGCCGCAGCTCCATGATGCCAGGCCCCTGCCTTGTGGTGAGAACTCATGTATACCACGAGCTTAAAAATTGGCGCTTGGAATATCCACCACTGATCCCCGCGACTGTGTTTTTCATTTGTTCCCTTTCCATCCATGCCATGTACCCTGTCCTGTCTTTCCCTGGTGATCACAAGAAGCACGACGGTATCGAAGCACTGAAATCACGAACGCCCTTTGTTCGGCTCACAAACCCCTCTATGCATCTGTGCCCAAATCCCTCACCACTTTCCCCCTTTCCTCATCTACACCCCCCCTCCTCCCGCTTCCGGGTAACTTTTGGGTCGACTCAAAAGTCCCTTTGTTCGCCCCACAAACCCCTCTATGTATCTGTCTGTGCCCAGATCCCTCACCACATTTCCCCTTTCCTTCTCTCCGCCCCCACTCTTCCCGCTTCCAAACTCCTCTCCAGCTTCCTCCCCGCACCACCCCGCCGCCAGGTTTTGTCGGCTTCTCAAGGCTTGAGACGAGAGGTCTCAAAGCTCTCCTTCCCCTGTACCCACAGCTCCTCTCCCCCATCCCCCCCCCCCCCCTCCCCCGCGCACCACCCCGCCGCCAGGTGGTGACTGAGGATAACGGCACTGTTTTTGGCGGCTTCTCATCTCAAGCGCTTGTAGCTTCCAATCGCAGAAAATACCAGGTTTGTGGAGATTCTTCCATGAGCTTCGCTGGCAAATCAGCTGTTCACATCGCTTATCATCCCTTTCTGCTGCTTCTGATTGTAAGAATTGAGTGCCCAGGAGCAGCACAACAGCTGAACCCCGTCGGCAGCAGAGTCGCCCGTATTTCCATTCTTCCTTTTCTTGATTGACGCTCCGCTCTACTTTTCAAATCACCTTAATCTTTCAAGTTTCCATTGTTGCCTCTATCCCCGGCTGTCCTCTGCCTGTGCCAGGGATCCAGTGACGTCTTTGTGTTCACCACCATTACAGGGGACCCCACCGTCTACAAGGTTACAGGTAACAAGTGGGGAGGGTGGAAGAGTGATTTTTTTCAGAAGTTTTTAACCAGTATTACTCTCATGTGGTTTTGTATTTACCATCATTACGGGGCAGCGCATTCTTGATTCCTGAATATTTTATTGTTTGGTTTTCTTCTCTTGCACACACCTGTCAGGGGCAAACCGCTACTTCATTCTGTGTCTAAACGAAGCTCTCTCCTTTGGAGGTGGAGGCCACTTCGCCCTGTGCCTATTCTTGCTCACTACCCCATTCTTCATTCCTGCATTTGTATTTTTTATTTCCCCGCCTGGCTTCTTCCCTCACACCTGTCAGGGGCAAACCGTTACTTCATCCTGTGTCTAAATGAAGCTCTCTCCTTTGGAGGTGGAGGCCACTTCGCACTTTGCCTGCAGGAGGACCTGTGAGTAACCTCTTAACGAATCACTTTCTATTATGGATTGCAAGCGCTTCTGTTGTCATTAGTAGTGATTGTGTTGAGAGAGTAGTGATTGTGTTGAGAGCGCCAGGTGCTTTTGCAGTGCTTGTCTTCTTTCCTTATAGAAATTCCTTTGTCCCCAGCCTGACAGGCTCCAGCGGTGGGTGTGAGACATTCTGCGGGCCGTGCCTCTCCAAGTCCGAGGATTCCAATATCGAGCAAGCCAGTTTCATTTCTTCAAGCTGTTCTTTTCCCCCTTGTCCCCCCCACACCACCCTTCCTTTCCCCAGTCTGACAGGCTCCAGCGGTGCGTGTGAGACATTCTGCAGTCCCTGTCTCTCCAAGTCTGAGGACTTCAAGATAAAGCATGTGGAGGTGAGGGTGAGGGGGGAATGTGAGGTTGAGCTTTAGGTGGTGAGGGGAAGAGAGCATGTGGAAGTGAGAAGAGAAAGTGATTTGGAGAGCACCCGAGGGAAGCATGTGGGGTTGAGGGAGCATTTGGGGTGAGGGTGAAGAGAGTGTGTGGGGGTGAGGTGAGCATGTGATTTTTTTTAAGCGGCGCCTCGAAGGTGAGGTGAGCATTTCGGAAGTGCGGCGGGCATGTGAGGGCAAGAGAGACAAGGTGGCATGCGGCATCGTGGGTGAGTAGAGGCGTGCATGTGAAAGACGAAAAGCCTCACATCGAGAAATGATAGTACAGGGAGCTGAGGGAGAATTATCTGTCAGATATGAAGGAAATGAGTGTATCTGACTGTCTGGCATCCATAATCTTCTCCCGTTGTCTTTCGTTCAATTTTCCGTTCGTGCCCACATCCTTCTGTAACCTTGCCACATGATATGCCTTTTCTTCTTTTCAGCTATGGGGATTCGCTCACCAGTCTCGATATGCACCAACAAAGGCCAACTGGCATGAACCATCGCAACCACATGGTTTTCATGCCAACTGGTAACTGTGCTGTTTACTTGAAGAAACCTTCACATTTTGGCACATGGATACTTGCCACAGTTTTGTCACTAACCTGGTCCTGTCTTGCATAATGTGCCTGCGTGTGGTGTTCTGCATGTATATTAAGTATATTACATCGTTCATTTAAGCATCCTTCAGTCTCATTTAAACAAAATGGTGAGAAAAAGCAGTATTACCTAGCACCAATGAAACATAAGCTTGAAACTAATTAACAGCTCTGAAGTATATTTTCAGACGTCGTCATACCGCTCGTATCGATTACACTAAAATGCTTCTCCACCCACAGTGCCTCACATTTCCGCTTTCTGACGTGGCTCACAGAACTATCCCATCGCCTGCATGCCTGAATGCGCAATGCAGAGCTAGTTTCTCGGTATGCGCCTGAATGCGCAATGCAGAGCTAGTTTCTCGGTATGCGCCTGAATGCGCAATGCAGAGCTAGTTTCTCGGATGGGATCGGCGACTCTCATGATGCTCCTGAATGATTGGGTTCCCGGGTATTCTCTAGGTTGCTCTCTGGAGCAGCGTCCTGAGAGGTCATGGAAACGCAGATTTGTTCAGAGAGCGACGCAAGCGTCATGCTGGAGAGCTTACCACCACGGCTGGATCTCTTAAAACGCGACACCTCATCGCAAGAGTCTCCTCTGCTACGTAATCCGACAGCTAATTTTGTCTCGACGTTAGGTTGGAAACTCGAGGAAACGAGCCTCCTGTCTGGCCAGTCTGGCTCTACCTGACTCCTAACTTGTGGTCAGGATGATTGAGGGTTTTTATCTGCTTCACCTCGTCCTTCTCGACGACGAAGTTTCTGCTGCGTTTTGTTGTCCGCGGGAAGGAAGCACCGATGACGCATGGCGGTCCTTTTTGAGAGGCTATACCTCCTCATATCAGAAGGTGCTGGGACGTGTCTATCGCGACCATGAACATGCTTATTGGGTTCCGGCAATCCCAGGTCCTCTCGTCGGCCTCACGTGGCTCGAGCATGAGGGATACGAGGAGTAGCGGAGGCGAGAACATAGCTGCTACTGAAGGAGAGGCTCAGCCATGCTCCAGTGGAAGGAGCCATGGTGGTTCTAGCCTTATCCATTCAGATCGTGAAAGCGAGAGCCGGAATGAACCGTTGCGTCACTCCGAGGTCGGCTCTCAGAGTGGGTTGCATTCACGTGCTGCATCGTCTTCCTATCCAAACAGTCAGATTGGACTGGCAGCAGCAGTGAGTGGAGGAGGAGGACGGAGGTCATTCGGTCGTGGTTGTGGCAGTCGTGCTCATGCTGCTACGAGAGGCTCTTCTGGAGAGCATCTGCTGTTCAGGGTAAGCTGCTCCTGATTTACTTGTGCTCATCTCCTGAACTCTTTTTTGTACGCATGAGTCTGATCTCTGTGATTGTTCATGTGCAGAAATGTGTCCAGCTGAATCAAGAGAGGGCCGCTATAGCTGCTGCGTTTGCTGCTGAAGAGTCAGCCAAGCAGGAAGATTTTACTTATTGTGCTGACGGAAACCCCAACTGTTTCATTATTAAGTCACTTCACGACATGGGTGTTGGCTTGAGCCCAACAGCTGAATCTGAGTTGGAAGGTGTTGATTCTGAAGACAGTGAAAGTGAGTTTTTGTAGTACTAGTACAGCGCTTTTACAAGACGGAGCATGATTTTTTCTTGCCTTCTTTCCTTTTGATACATGTTTGACCATTCTGCTCATTGTTATGCAGGTGAACCTGACAAGTCTAGAGGGAGTATCCAACTTCAAGAAATCCAGGACTTTCCGAACGGTCATGACGTTCATGTTCCTGCTTCTCCGAGGCCACATAACACAGCTCTTGAGCCGTCAGATTTAGAACTTTGTGGTGTAGGTACACCTTCTTCCTCTCGCACTGCCGATTTGGCAAGTCTGGGTGGACTCTTATCTCAGAGCAACGGTTCTGTTTCACTGCCAGCTACGCCTCAAGTGTGGACACCCCTCTACCAGAATGGATCAGGGAGGTCGTCTACTGGCTCTCCAGGGTTATATGGTCCAACCACATCTGAGCTTTTGGCTGCAACATCCAGCCTGCGAGCTCGAAGAGCAGCTCTTTTGGCATTGCCATCTCTCCAAATTCCGAGCTTTCTTGCCTCCCCAGGTGTGTTCAGATCTTCCCCTTCCATGGATGAATTTGTCCTGTGCATTCAATGATGCTGAATGCATTTGTGGTCAATGGCTTTGTGCAGGGCCTTTTGAATCTTTCTCTGCCGTTTGTGGATTTTCTGGGAGCATGCTTCCAGGAAGTTCCATTCCGTCAGTGCAAGCTCCCCTGGGACAGCTCAGTTCCTTCAATGCTCAAACCAACCAGCCACGCTCTGCACCTTTCTTACCATCTGTTGATTCTGACCCAACTTATTTGGCAGTTTCACAAATTGATAGAATTTCAGGATGGCAGAAACCATGGCCAGGAAAAGGCCTGACATCTGAGATCTCCTCTTCTAGCCTAGCTGTACCTGGGGGTTCTGCCACTCCTAGGCAGGAAGTTGTGCCAGCTGGTAGGCTTCGGGATTTTCTGAAGGTGGAGAACTGGAGAACTTTGCGGGCAGTGCCAAGCTCAGCCGTTTCTGAATTCATGTCAGGTCCTTCATCTCCTGCTCCACCAACTCCTACTCTGCTGGCCCGCTCTCTGTCCAGTGCGTCACTTGTTGATTCAGTGGCATCTCCTTCAGTCACTGCCATTGCTGCTGCAGAAGCTGCAGCAGCTGCTGCCAGTGCTGCTAGTCCTACCAATCCACTGTACAAGACGGAGCTGTGCCGGTCTTGGGAAGAGACAGGTGCCTGTCGTTATGGAGGGAAGTGCCAGTTTGCACATGGAAGGGACGAGCTTCGAGCTGTTGCACGCCATCCCAAGTACAAGACTGAGGTAAGCCACTTTCCTGAATTTTGTTGAATCAATGCCGGCTTTTGAGAGTGACTGCTCATGCACTCCTTGTTTTCCTGCCTGCAGGTTTGTAGAACTTTCAATTTGAATGGAACTTGTCCTTATGGCACGCGTTGCCGTTTCATTCACTATACATCAGCTTCCACGTCAGCGGCAAGCTCTCCAGCTATTGGATCCTCTCCTATTCAGCTTAGTACCACCGGCTCTCACATGTCTGGATCCGGTGGCCTTGTGCCCTCTCCTTTGAAGTCTCAGCTTTCTCTTCCGACTGCCAGGAGCGGCGGTGTATCTTTGGGAAGTGCATTTTCAACCCCGCTTGGCAGCCCTCGCCGGTTGCCGGTGTTTGAAACCATTTGTAAGGAGTCGGGCTTAGAGCCGTCCACTCAGCGCAACTCAAATAGCTGTTCTGGTGGGTGAGTTGCTTGCACACAGTTGCAGCTTGGATAGCTGCTATGGTGGGTGGGTGCTTGTCTGGGTGAAGTGGGGGTTTTTGGAGCAAGGCAAAGTTGGGATCAAGTTGACGTTCTGTTCCCATGTATTTCATTCATTATGTTCTTTTATTCCTAGGTAGTGTTTAGTGCAACCTAGAAAATTTATGTTCAGATTCTTGTGACAGGTTTGCCTTAGTACAGTACATTGATATGGATACAGGACATTTACATTTAATCAGAAGACCCCACGTCAGTGTTCACAAAGTGAGAAGGGCCGCTCAAACAGTTCCTCATTTGCCCTCCTCACCAGTGCTTTCCTTTCCTCCATCAACTCTTCCCTGTACTCCTTCGCCTCTTCCAAACTCATTCCTACTGCAGATGGACCTGCAATCAGCCTGTCTGCAACCATATCAAGTGCAAGACAAGGCAGGCTCCGACATGGGTTCCCTTTCCTCTCCAGCTCGTGGCGCCTCCATGCAAGCTGCTGAGGAGGCACACGTGCTGTCGTCACAACTCTTGTCTTAGGGTCCACGAGGAAAAAAACAAGGATCTTGCGATGCCCAGGCTTGGACTTGTCGGCAAGTTCAAAGGGAGCTACACAGTGATGGTAGTGGTTTGGGAAGGCCAGGCACAGGCCTGGCGTGGAGGTTTGGACCGAACCTAGTGGCTGCACGAGTGAGCCTTCTTCCACAAGCCCGTAGACCATTTGGACTCCCTTTCGGTCGTCTTGCTCGTAGTCTGGCTCTTTGACCGTATGTCGGAACCGCAGACGCGACTCCGAGATGTTCTCAATGTCGTAGTAATAGATGCCAGTGGCCTGTGAGGATAGAGGGTTGTCAATGAACTTCAGCAAGAACATGGAACCCTAAATCTACGTAGCTGGTACAGGTGAGAGCAGAGAGTGACTCACCACGATGCTCTCATTTCTCATGCCTTCCACATGCCACGTGCCTCCAGGGTACATGGGCTGGTCCGGGGTGAGGCAGATGGAAGCAATCTTCACTATCACCTGTAACCGTCTTCCCTGCAGCTTCACCACCCGTTCCATGGGTGGTTCTGGGGGAGGTGAGAAGTCCGGTACCTCCGGCTGAATGGGTTCCCTGTCTTCTATATATGCCTCGTTGTCGTCATCATCACTTAAGTCATACTCCCGATCGCCCCTCCAGCCTTCATACCAGCTGCAGTGGGTTGAGGAAAAATGGAGCAAACGAGCGCATGCGCTGTTAGGCAGCTGGCTCATAGCGAGCTTCCAGTCGACATTTTTTTTGCTGAGCATGCACAGCCGTCACTATGAGATTACATTACGATAAGCGGAAAGTAGGACGGAATCATTACGGTCACATTCTCAACCAAGCATTACCTGTACGGGTCGGCAGTGATCCGCAGTGGTCGTGGGTTGGCTGAATCTGTCAGCACCTTATTGAACAGCGGCACGAACGCCAAGGCAAATATCTTCTCCAGGCTTCGATACGTCTCTGCAAACTCAAGCGGATGCAGATTGTTGATGTACGACCGAAACTTTGCACTGTGCCCGTCCGCAGAAACATCAATCTCTGCTGGCAGCCACTGAAATGTATCTGAAAAAAACTCGTCTTCCACCCTCCTCCTCACCCCAGCCTGACTTCCCTCCTCCGGATCCGTTGCCAAACCTGCAAGCTCAGCAGCGTCAGCAACCAAGCCTAACTCACTGACCATCTGGTCCCATGGCAGGACATCCAGGGTGGTGTAGTCAGGGTCGGTAATGACTCTGGTTCGGCCGTACACGAGGCAGTGGAGTGATGGATGGACCAAGTCAATGACCTGCTTGTTCGATCCTGGATGGTAGTCAATTTGATCCTCAGGAACGGACTCCAGGCGATGCATGCCTTGCAGAAACGGCTGGAGAATTTCAGGTTGGAAGGAGGCCGACGCAACGAGGTAGACGCCGTCTACTGCGCTTGGCATGACAGCTGGCGTGACTGGCGTAACTGGCGTGATTGGCGAGACTGCAATAGCCGGAGAGGAGGGGTGGTGAGTAGAGGCTTGCCAGCGAAGCTCTTCAATGGCGTAGTCGACTAGATCAGGGTCCACCTGGTGGGAGAGGAGGGAATGCATGCGGAATGGAGTCAGCAAAGTAAGTCCCAACATTCGATATAATCAGCATTGACTTGAGGGGTGGGAGGGAAGGAGGGTGGAAGGGAGGTGTTCAGGGGGAGGGGTTGAGGAGCACATGCGATGGCAATAAATTTCACCTTGACAATCCTCTTGCCGTTGTCCCTCAGGAATGAAACCACGCTGGCAGGATCTTCAAGCGACACGTCTCTTTCTTCCCTCACGAAATACGCTTTCGCCGGTCGGACGGGATTCGTCAGCTCCTCCTTCCACTTCGCTACAATCACATCGTCCATGACCTTCCTCATCCAATCCGTCTTTTCTCGGATGTTTCCCATGACGTGGCATAGCAGCTGCTCTTTGAGGGTCTTCACTTCGAAACCCAGGGAATAATCTCCCGCGTTGTCAAACGGATTCGGAAAATCAGGAAGGTCCTCATTGAGACGCATGGTGACGAATCCCCGTAAAAATACAAGAAAATATACAGATATTGTTCTAGGAGGAGGACCTACGATAAACGAAAAGAAATGCTGAAGATTGATGCACGACACAGCAGAAGAAATAGTCCACGAGCGCGGGGAATGCTGTGAATTTTTGCACCCAGCGGCGTCTCACAGAAATGGAGTCTGGCATTGAATGGATGTCTGAGAAGGTCTAAAGCTTGGCGGGAAATTTCTGGAGCGAAATAGGTTCCGAAGAAATGAGCTTCAACCTGAAGCCCAAACCAGCCTTGTAGAACTAACCCAAATGAACCCAGATGAAACCAGCTTAAACCATCTGAACCAAATAGGACTCAACTGGACCCAAACCAGCAAGTGCAGGGTGTGCCTACATTTGGAACTCCACCCACCCAAAAAACGTCGGGCCCCAGGACCTGGAATCAGGATTCCTGACCAATCCCTCTGAGCCTTGGGAACTCCGATTGACGACCTGGCTGACGAACGGGTCCTGATTGGCAAGGAGAAATCGCTGTAACCGCGCATTCTTGTCACGGACCAAACATTGCTCAAGATCCCTGGGCGCGCTAGGTTGACTCCAGGAAAACTGTAAGAGGCTGACGAACGTTTGCGAGGTGCAGCAGCTTGACGAAAGAGGTTGGGGGCCGAGAGAATTGCTCCAAACCCTTGTTTGGAGATTCAGCGTTGCCCACGTGGCTACCATTTGCTCGCGTGGTTCTCAAATTCAGTGATAATTGCTCGAGTGGCCTTGCCAGTGGATTCTCACTGGCTTTTTTTAACCCGTCACATTACCCTACACGGGTTTCTATCCCCTAAACTTCTGTACTGGTTACTGCGCGATCTTCAGTATCCAAAATCTATGTTCGTGACCCTATATGACCGCGCCTGATTGGACGCGCCATTCAAAAAAAGGCACCGTGCATATAATTGACCAATCATGCGCGGTCATTAAGGGCATTGCAGTTTATAACTGCGGAAATATATGATCGGGCATTAAAATATGATGCGCGCGACCATTAATGGCCGCGCAGGATTGGTCGATTATATGAGCGTCCAATCAGGCGCGGTCATATAGGGTCATGAACATAAATTTCGGATAGAAAAGATCGCGCAATAACCAATACAGAAGTTTCGAGGGTAGATGCCCCTGAAGGGAAATGTTCATTATTTAAAAAAGACTTTGAGAATCCCCTGGCGAGGCCACTCGAGCAATTATTACTGAATTTGAGAACCACTCGAGCAAATGGTGACAACGTGTGCAAAAACGAATCCCCAAACAAGGGTTTGGAGCAAATCTCTCTTGGGGGCCGCAGAGGAATCCCTGTTGCCTAACTTGCTTTTGCGACGAAAAGGCTCGCCAAGGAGCTTTCGCGACAGTATTCGTTAGGCTGTGATTCGCTGTTTAGGTGCAGTGGCAAGCGAACTCAGCGTTACACGTTTGCAGATATTGAAACAAGTAACTGAAACATGGATTTGCTAGTGTAGGAACTTGGTTAGGGCTGCAGCTTCCATTTAGCGTGACAGCGACTGTACTTGTTCCAGGAGAAAGCGCAGTTACCGAGCCGTCTCTTCGTTTTTCTGATCTGCTAGCGGGCCCATTTCAGTCGGCTCGTCTTTAAGGATCCATCCGCATCGTTGGTTCCCTTCGTGTCATCCTCGTCTCCGCTACACGCACATCCGATACCGTTCATAGTCGGCCAATATGGGTAAAAAGCAGCACAGCAAGGATCGCATGTTCATCACAACAACGGAGTGGGCCTCGGAGTGGGGGGGAGCCAAGGCAAAAGACACCCGCACGCCGTTCCGCCGCCTCCCCTTCTACTGCTGTGCGTACGTGACTGACCCTTCTGTTTTCGCTTCCGCTTCTCCCTCTCCCTCCTCGTCCGCTTCCCCATCCCTTCCAGTTCACCTTTCCCTTCCCTCCCGCCGCCTCCCCTTCAATTTCTGTGCATACTTGACTGACCTTTGCGTCCTGAAACTAATGGTTAGGAGCTCTTTTCCTTTTTCTCCCTTTTTCTCTTCCCCTTCCCCTTCTCCTGGTTCCCCTCTTCCTTCCCCTTCCCGTTTCCCGTTCCCTTCCTCTTCCCTTCCCCTTTTCCTTCGCCTTCAGCTTTCCCTTTACCTTCCCGTTGTTCCCCTTCCTCTTCCCCTTCCCGTTCCCCCTCACCTATGCTGCCGTTCCCGTTATCCTCGTTTGCAGGGTTTCCTTTACGCCGTTTGAAGACCCAGTCTGCTCACCAGAGGGTCACGTCTACGACATTGTGTAAGCTTCGATTCCCTTCTGCAACTCCTCAAAACACTGTCAAAATTCTTTTGAGGCGCCTCAAAAGTGTAAGCCTTGTTTCCCTTCTGCAATTCCTCAAGACACTGTCAAAAGTCGCAATGACGAAAGCCCTGGTACAAGTTATTAATGATATCCACACCACTGTGGTCCTAATGCACTCCTTGCGAACAGTGTCCCTGAATTGAATAACTCATCTTAAAGCCACGTCCTGAGCGTTGTGCTGGTGGTCTTTTGAATCGTTGGATCCGTGCAATAATGTCTCTAACCTGCTGCTTTGTTCCTACTCCTTCACTCCCTCTCTTACTCCTTTCTCACATGGTCGGCGGCACAGCAACATCGTGCCGTACATCCAAAAGTTCAAGCGTAACCCGGTTACCGGCAAGCCTCTGGCCCTCAAGGATCTGATCAAGCTTCATTTCCACAAGAACGCTGATGGTTCGTACCAGCGTAACCCAGCTATCTCTGTCCTCTATTCGCTGAGTGCTGTCCTTGTGACAATTCTCAAAGGGACCCTCACAGACCTGATCAAACTTCACTTCCACAAGATCGCTGACGGTTTGTCCCAGTGTAACCCGGTTGTTCTTGCTGATCTGTCTTTGCTCCGTGTCGTGCTTATTAGAGTTCTTCTCAAGAGTGCCCTAATAAACAGTCATGATCAAGCTTCACGTCCACAAGAACGCTGACGGTTCGTCCCACCCTGCGTAACCCAGTTGTTCTTGCTGTCCCGTCTTCCCCACTTTCTGTTACATGTGCAGTTTGCTGAATGTGTGTTGTTTAACTTGAACCCCCTTTTTGGTTGTGCCGTGGTTCTTTACGTTTCTATACTTTCCACCTTTTATGTTTCACACCTTGTTTCTAGTTGTTCTTGCTTTTTGTGTGTGTTTCGTCACACTGGAATTGGTTTTGCTGGCTGCAGGCGAGTACCACTGCCCGGTTTTGAAGAAGGTGTTTACCGAGTTTACCCACATCGTGGCTGTCAAGACAACCGGCAACGTGTTCTGCTATGAGGTGAGTGAGAAGTGGCTGAAAGGGGAAAATAAGGGGGAGGAGTAGGAGAAAGACATGCAGAAGGGGGGAGACGCAAGCCAAGAGAATGAGAAAGTGATCAACATGTTTTGCACTTCGTTAAGAACATGTGATTCGCACCCTATTTTTTCTCTACCACCTTACTCCAGGCCATCAAGGAGCTGAACGTGAAGCCCAAGAACTGGAAGGAGCTGCTGACGGATGAGCCCTTCACACGTGCTGACATCATCACCATTCAGGCATGTGACGTCACATCATCACCATTCAGGCATGTGACGTCACATCACCATTCAGGCATGTGACGTCAGCACTATTCAGGCATGTGACGTCAGCACTATTTAGGCATGTGACGTCAGCACTAATCAGGCATGTGACGTCAGCACTAATCAGACATCTAACGTCAGCACTATTCAGGCATGTGACGTCAGCACTAATCAGACATCTAACGTCAGCACTATTCAGGCATGTGACGTCATGGTTTCTAGGCATCCATGTGATGTGTCATCACATTACTGTTTGTGCATGTAACGTCATCACTGTTGTGATGCCATGCCTGTGCTCTCTGATTTCGACGACGTCAAGTCAAGCACAGCCTTTCACCTCCAATGACCGTGGCCCTCTTGTCTTGTGTTTTGAGTCGACTCAAACCACGCCATCAAGCACAGCCTTGCAGCTGCAGTGACTGAGTCCTTTCCATCCCCTCTCCCCCCCATTGTCCACCCTCTTTGCTCTCTGTGCCTGTTTCCTTCCATCTCCCCTGCCCAGGACCCCAACAATCTGGATTCCAATGTGCTCACTGAGGTCGACCATGCTCTTTTTAGGCGCCTCAGAAGTTTGCTCACTGAGATCGACCATACCAAGCACAGCCTTGCATTTTTGCAGCTGCAATGATTATATCTTTCTCTTCCTTCCTCTCCCTCCTTGTGATCCCTTTCTCTCTGTTCTGTTTCCTTCCATCCTCCCCTTCCTCTGCAGGATCCCAACGTGCTCACTGAGTTCAACCACATCAAGCATTTCCTTGCTTGCAGCTCCAATGAATCTTTCTTTCTCTTCCTTCCTCTCCCTCCTTGTGATTCTTTTCTGTCTTTTCTGTTTCCTTCCATCCCTCTCCTCCATTACCCCGCCACAGGATCCCAACAATCTGGATGCCAATGTGCTCACGGAGGTCGACCACGTCAAGCAGAGCAGAACCTCGCAGCTCCAATCCAATGGCCCAGTCCTTCCTGTCCTCTGTTTGAAGAAGTGTTTTGAGACGTCTCAAAACAATCCAATGGCCCAGTCCTTCCTGTCCTCTGTTTGAAGAAGTGTTTTGAGACGTCTCAAAACAATCCAATGGCCCAGTCCTTCCTGTCCTCTGTTTGAAGAAGTGTTTTGAGACGTCTCAAAACAATCCAATGGCCCAGTCCTTCCTGTCCTCTGTTTGAAGAAGTGTTTTGAGACGTCTCAAAACAATCCAATGGCCCAGTCCTTCCTGTCCTCTGTTTGAAGAAGTGTTTTGAGACGTCTCAAAACAATCCAATGGCCCAGTCCTTCCTGTCCTCTGTTTGAAGAAGTGTTTTGAGACGTCTCAAAACAATCCAATGGCCCAGTCCTTCCTGTCCTCTGTTTGAAGAAGTGTTTTGAGACGTCTCAAAACAATCCAATGGCCCAGTCCTTCCTGTCCTCTGTTTGAAGAAGTGTTTTGAGACGTCTCAAAACAATCCAATGGCCCAGTCCTTCCTGTCCTCTGTTTGAAGAAGTGTTTTGAGACGTCTCAAAACAATCCAATGGCCCAGTCCTTCCTGTCCTCTGTTTGAAGAAGTGTTTTGAGACGTCTCAAAACAATCCAATGGCCCAGTCCTTCCTGTCCTCTGTTTGAAGAAGTGTTTTGAGACGTCTCAAAACAATCCAATGGCCCAGTCCTTCCTGTCCTCTGTTTGAAGAAGTGTTTTGAGACGTCTCAAAACAATCCAATGGCCCAGTCCTTCCTGTCCTCTGTTTGAAGAAGTGTTTTGAGACGTCTCAAAACAATCCAATGGCCCAGTCCTTCCTGTCCTCTGTTTGAAGAAGTGTTTTGAGACGTCTCAAAACAATCCAATGGCCCAGTCCTTCCTGTCCTCTGTTTGAAGAAGTGTTTTGAGACGTCTCAAAACAATCCAATGGCCCAGTCCTTCCTGTCCTCTGTTTGAAGAAGTGTTTTGAGACGTCTCAAAACAATCCAATGGCCCAGTCCTTCCTGTCCTCTGTTTGAAGAAGTGTTTTGAGACGTCTCAAAACAATCCAATGGCCCAGTCCTTCCTGTCCTCTGTTTGAAGAAGTGTTTTGAGACGTCTCAAAACAATCCAATGGCCCAGTCCTTCCTGTCCTCTGTTTGAAGAAGTGTTTTGAGACGTCTCAAAACAATCCAATGGCCCAGTCCTTCCTGTCCTCTGTTTGAAGAAGTGTTTTGAGACGTCTCAAAACAATCCAATGGCCCAGTCCTTCCTGTCCTCTGTTTGAAGAAGTGTTTTGAGACGTCTCAAAACAATCCAATGGCCCAGTCCTTCCTGTCCTCTGTTTGAAGAAGTGTTTTGAGACGTCTCAAAACAATCCAATGGCCCAGTCCTTCCTGTCCTCTGTTTGAAGAAGTGTTTTGAGACGTCTCAAAACAATCCAATGGCCCAGTCCTTCCTGTCCTCTGTTTGAAGAAGTGTTTTGAGACGTCTCAAAACAATCCAATGGCCCAGTCCTTCCTGTCCTCTGTTTGAAGAAGTGTTTTGAGACGTCTCAAAACAATCCAATGGCCCAGTCCTTCCTGTCCTCTGTTTGAAGAAGTGTTTTGAGACGTCTCAAAACAATCCAATGGCCCAGTCCTTCCTGTCCTCTGTTTGAAGAAGTGTTTTGAGACGTCTCAAAACAATCCAATGGCCCAGTCCTTCCTGTCCTCTGTTTGAAGAAGTGTTTTGAGACGTCTCAAAACAATCCAATGGCCCAGTCCTTCCTGTCCTCTGTTTGAAGAAGTGTTTTGAGACGTCTCAAAACAATCCAATGGCCCAGTCCTTCCTGTCCTCTGTTTGAAGAAGTGTTTTGAGACGTCTCAAAACAATCCAATGGCCCAGTCCTTCCTGTCCTCTGTTTGAAGAAGTGTTTTGAGACGTCTCAAAACAATCCAATGGCCCAGTCCTTCCTGTCCTCTCTCTCCCTCTTGTCGTTCGCACCCCGTGCGTGCTGTTTACATCCATGTGTTCCGTCCCTTCTCCCACCCACCTGCAGGATCCCAACAATCTGGATGCCAATGTGCTCACGGAGGTCGACCACGTCAAGCAGAGCACACCCTCGCAGCACCAATGGCCCAGTCCTTCCTGTCCTTCTCTTTCCCGCTTGCCGTTCTCACCCTGTTCCGATCACTGCCATCCTTTCCCTCCCTCCTCCCCTCTCCCACCTGCAGGATCCCAACAACCTGGATGCCAATGTGCTCACAGAATTCGACCACGTCAAGCAGAACCTCGCTGCTCCAAAGGAAGGTGAGCCGTGGAAGAGCCTTTGAGTCTGCTAACGTTTCATCAGAAGCTCTCTGAATGCCAATTCAATGTGCTCATGGAGTTCGACCACGTCAAGCAGAACCTCGCAGCTCCCAAGGAAGGTGAGCCGTGGAAATGCATTCCAGCTGTTCAAAACCAGTACATAACAGCATCCAGCAGCGTCAGAGTGTTTCAGAGAGGTAACAGCATCCAGGGCTGGGGTGCGCTGGAAACTCTCACATTGTCTGAGGCGCGCTGGAAACTCTCACATTGTCTGAGGCGCGCTGGAAACTCTCACATTGTCAAAGGCGCGCTGGAAACTCTCACATTGTCTGAGGCGCGCTGGAAACTCTCACATTGTCTGAGGCGCGCTGGAAACTCTCACATTGTCTGAGGCGCGCTGGAAACTCTCACATTGTCAGAGGCGCGCTGGAAACTCTCACATTGTCTGAGGCGCGCTGGAAACTCTCACATTGTCGTGGAGAAAACCTCTTCTGAGGCTTGGAGTGAACACAGCAGCCTCGGAGAGCATTCAGCGCGCCCTGGCCTCTCCTTTCTGTCTGCCAATGCCCCTTATTCCTTCCCTCCGGTCCGGTTCCTCTCTTTCCAGGTGAAGGCAGCGCAGCAGCATCGGGCGTCAATGCAGCAGTGCCTGAGAGCATTCAGCGCGTGCTGGCCATCCCATGCTGTCTGTCGCCCTTCAATTCCTCCCCTTGCAGGCGAAGGCGGTGCAGCAGCATCGGGAGTGAATGCAGCAGTGTCTGAGAGCATTCAGCGCGTCCTGGCAGCCCTTCCCAAGAACGATGGCGAGGAGCCTGGAGTCGGTTCATCCAAGGTAGGTCCATCTGGGCTGGGCTTGTCAGGGGTTATTGTGGGTTGCATTCAGCATTCAGCGCGTGCTGGCTGCCCTTCCCAAAAATGATGGCGAGGAGCCTGGAGTCGGTTCATCCAAAGTAGGCCCATCTGGGGCGAGCTTATCTGGTCTGGTGTGTGATGTGCTGATTTGGGGTCGGGTTTGTTCGGAAGGGCTAGGTTGTTCTGGGCTGGAGTCGGTTCATCCAAAGTAAGCCCATCTGGGGCGAGCTTATCTGGGGTGTGTTGGTTTGGGGCCCGGCTTGTTTGGGATGGTTAGGTTGTTCTGGGCTGAATTCCTGGACATCCATTGTGCCACCTTACTTCTGAGACGATTTTTGAGGCGCCTCAAAAGAATTCCTGGAGATCCATTATGCCACCTTACTTCTGGCAAGCTGTCTAGGATTCCAGTTAAGTGAACTATGTCTGTATCGCATCACTTAAATACATCCTCCACTACTTATTCGAGTAACTTGCACAGTGATTTTAATTCCCCTTGTCTCCTTCTCCTAGGGTGCACTTTTGAGTCGACTCAAAATCCCCCCCCCCCCCCCACAGCAAGCACCCATGTCTTTCTCTGTGTGTTTTGAGTCGACTCAAAAGTCACGTCTGTGCCTGGCCCTCCCCCCCACTTTTGAGTCGACTCAAAAGTAACTTGCACAGTGATTTCAATTCCCCTTGTCTCCTTCTCCTAGGGTGCATCCCAGTTACTAATGGGCGGGGGAGGAAGCAAGGCAAGGAAGGAAGCAGCTGCGGCAGCAGCAGCACTAGATGCAAGGAAGGCAGAGGAGGTTGCTGCTGCTGCCGCCGCTGCTGCCAGAGAAGCCCTAGCCGCACAAGAGGGGGGAGAGGGTGGAGAACAAGTAGGGGGAGAAGGAGCGGGAGGAGCAGGGGGAGCGGGAGCAGGTGCCAAAGGAAAGGGAGGTGTGGAGAAGGCGAAGAGGAAGCGGGGAGAGGAGCGGGAAGCGGAGCAGCAGAAGAAGCACGTTCAGCAGCAGATCCTGCAGAGGCAAAGAGAAATGGAAGCCCCTTCAATCGCCGGCAGCGCAGCAACCACCGCTGGTGCTGCTGGTGCTGCCGGTTCAGCAGGAGCAACAGGAGCAGGCACAGGCGCCCCTCCCCCTATGAGCATCGTCGACGCCGCGAGTGCTGCTCTCTCCGGCCGCAGCGCAGCTGCTGCCAAGGCCACCGACGAGAAGAAAGCCCATGCGCGCGTAGCAGCGCACGCAGCAGGGCAGCGGGTGCCTATCAAAGAAAACACAAAGCTGGTCCGAAGCGCGTATACGTCCGGAGCGACGACGCGGTCGTTTACGTCTACGGTGTATGAGCCGGTGACGACAACGGAGTATGAGATGGTGAGGGTGGAGAAGAAACCGAAGAAGAAGGGGTACTGTAGGGTGCACACGAGTGCGGGCGATTTGAACGTGGAGCTGCATTGTGATATTGTCCCACGGACGTGTGAGAACTTCTTGACGCTCGCGGAGAGGGGGTACTATAATGGCACCATCTTCCACCGCTGCATTCGGTACGTGCTGCTACCTGCTCGTTCCATTCAAATGCATGCATTTGGCACGTGCCAGTACAGCCCGGTCGTTTACCTCTACGGTGTATGAGCCGGTGACAATGGTGAGGGTGGAGAAGAAGCCGAAGAAGAAGGGGTAAAGGGCCGCGTGCACACGAGTGCGGGGGACTTGAACGTGGAGCTGCACTGCGATGTGGTTCCACGGACGTGCGAGAACTTTCTTACGCTGGCGGAGAGAGGGTACTACCATGGGACTGTCTTCCTCCGCTGCATCCGGTTCGTGCTGCTACCTGCTCGCTCCATTCAATTCAAATGCCAGGTACAATGCTCGTGATAACAATCAACAGCAGCCTGGTACCATGCCAGGTACAATGCCAGGTACAATGCTATCTGTCCGGTGCACTGTGTGATAAAGTTCAACAGCAGCCCTCCTACACTCCCACCCACCCAGTTGCATTGTTGGGATCAAATTCCCTCCTCTTCTTCCCTTTTTACCTGCCCTGGGCCCTCTCCCCTCCCTTCTCCCCACTCCCTCCCTCCACTCCCCTCCCCCTCCTTCATGAAATTTCATGATCCAGGGCGGGGACCCGACAGGCACGGGAAAAGGAGGGCAGTCGGCATGGGGAAAGGCGTTTCAGGACGAGTTTGACTCGCGGCTGGGCCACAGCGAGCGGGGAGTGCTGTCCATGGCCAACAGCGGGCCTCACTCCAACCACTTGCTCCCTTGCCCTGCCTTCGTTTTCCCTTTAATGCCCTCCGCTCGCCTCCCCCTCTCCCCACTCTCCACCCCCCCTCAAACCCCCTCTTTTCCCCAGAAATTTCATGATCCAAGGAGGAGACCCCACCGGAACCGGCAAGGGAGGGCAGTCGGCGTGGGGAAAGGCGTTTCAGGACGAGTTTGACTCGCGGCTGGGCCACAGCGAGAGGGGCGTGCTCTCCATGGCCAACAGCGGCCCTCACTCCAACGGATCGCAGTTCTTTGTGCTCTTCAAGTCGGCGCCTCACCTGAACTACAAGCACTCGGTATTCGGCCGCGTGGTGGGGGGCTTGGACACGCTAGCTGCCATGGAGAGGAGTGCTGTAGATGATAAAGACAGGCCCCTGGTAAGATGCTTTGACCGCACTCCACCGCACTGCACCTCAGCCCACCGCACCGCGCCTCACCTCAATTACAAGCACTCCGTGTTCGGGCGCGTGGTGGGGGGCATGGAGACCCTGACTGCCATGGAGAGGAGTGCCGTGGACGATAAAGACAGGCCCCTGGTGAGATGCTGGTACTGCACTCCACTGCACTCCACTCCACTCCACTGCACTCCACTCCACTCCACTGCACTCCAGCGCACCTTGCCTCACCGCGCTCCTCCTCAACTGCAGGCAATCTGTAGCGGTCCATGTTCCCTGTGTGTATGTTGAGAGACTCATTATGATCAAGAGCATCACTGTGTTTGTGAACCCGTACACAGAGGTGGATGCAGAGGCAGAGGCAGGGTTCAAGGTTGCTTTTGAGTCGACTCAAAAGTCATGCAGAGGCAGAGGCAGAGGCAGGGTTCAAGGTTAAATGTTCAACCCATGCTTGCCTGATTTTCTGTCCCCTTGTCTCTTTGTGTCTCATTAGAAACCCATCACGATAGAGAGCATCACAGTGTTTGTGAACCCGTACACAGAGGTGGATGCAGAGGCAGAGGCGGAGGAGAAAGCAGGCAATCGGGGGAAAGAGAGGTGTATGTCTAATTCCAATGCTTGCTTGCGTCCTGTTTCCGTGCTTCCCTGTATGTGCACCCCAGAAACCCATCACAATAGAGAGCATCACCGTGTTTGTGATGGGGAGGCATGATGAGAGCACATCCCTCTGTTCTGTCCCCATGCCTCCCCATGTGCTCCTGCAGAAACCAGTCACCATCGAGAGCATCACAGTGTTTGTGAATCCGTACACGGAGGTGGATGCAGAGGCAGAGGCGGAGGAGGCAGCAGCGAGGGAGAAGGAGAAGGAGAGGAAGGGCAAGGAGCTGACGTGGGAGGAGCAACAGGAGTTGGTACGTTGCCGCGTGTGCTTCTGCTATGTTTGTGTGTAACAACAGATGGTATGCAGCGTGTGCTTGCTGCGATTCTGCCATGAGTTTGAATCCGAAGGAGGAGACACCTGTTTGTACACATGCCAACATGAGCGGAAGGGCAAGGAGCTCACGTGGGAGGAGCAGCAGGAGATGGTATGTTGGCACATGTCTGTGTGCTTCTCCTGTGTGAGCAAGTGAGGTGTGTGTGTGTGTGTGTGTGTGTGTTTGTGTGTGTGGGGGTGTGTGTGTTTGTGTTTGTGTGTGTGGGGGTGTGTGTTAGTGTTTGTGTGTGTGGAGATGTGTGTGATTGGGTAGTGTGCCTCTTTTGTGCATCTGGGTGCGTACATGTGTGTGTCCATGTGCGTACATCTGTTCTGATTCTAGCACTTAAGCACACCCCCTGTCAGCTAGTGAATCTTCATCCTGCCCTCTCTACTTCGGTTCTCTCCCTGCATTACCCGTCCCTGCTTTATCCCTGCTACACCCATTCCATGTCATCAGGATGCTGTGGGTAGTTGGTACAGCAACCCGTTGGCAGGCAAAGAGGCTCCAAAAGTCTTTAAGTCGCAGGGAATTGGCAAGTATTTGAACCCAGCAGTGGCAAAAACGCCTGAAGCAAGTGGGTCTGGATCGAAGGCTATGGGCCCACCTCCAGTTCCTGTAAAGAAGGCCCAGCCAAGCTCTTACGGAAACTTTGATGCTTGGTGAGGTGAAAATGCTGAAGCATCGTCTGCGCTGAATGTGTCAATGGATTCGTTCCCTGTAATGAGTTGATGGGACTTCACTAAATGTGAGAATTAGTGTTACCTTAGAGAAACTGTGTCAAGGATTTACAAATCCTTACCGAGGCACTCGTTAGCGAGGCCATCGTGAGGGTCATGCGACGAACCTCTTGCCTATTTCGTCAGCCAAACCACTCCGCTCCAATCGCAACCATCACCGAGCCGTCCTTTCCCGACCTCCCCGCCTAGCTAGCTTTTCCTCTATTTAGGCCTCGGCACTTTCATTGTATCGTCAGTTCAATTCTGTAATTTCCATTCTCTATATTCGTTTTACTGCTCACTCTGCAAGTTCATTCATAACAAACTGTTCCCAAAATTGGTAACCATTGCGGTCTCGTTTTCTGTTTCAGCGAGTGCTCGTTATGGGGAACATCGGTTGCTGGTTTTGGTCAAATAGGACCTCCTTTGGTCAAATAGGACTTCCTTTAGTCGACTGTGCGGTGCAATGCGGTTCACGGATCTGACGAGGTCTTCCCAACAATGTCCTGATGCAAGTGGATTTTCCTGACAGAACGGATAATCGCCGCCAGCATTGTGAAAACCAGCAGCATTTGGCAGTTTCTTAGGAACCAGCAGCAACCATAGGCTTAGTAAATTCGTCGTGACCAAGGGACCTAGGTTTTGGCCAAAGAGGGTTTTTTTGGGTTGCGAAGCAACCCTTTACGATCTATTTTGACAGTTTTTTTTCATGGTTTTTTTTAATAAAACATGAAAAAAAAATTGTAAGCTACACTATCACCCTTCCCATTGTGCATGTTGAAGTGTTTTGAATGTTGGTAGCAGTTTTTGTAGTAGTTTTGTGCATAAATGCTATACTGTTTGTATTATATATTTTACTGTTTGATGTAGTGATAATTGCATGTAATAAATGTTATGAGTACTAATAATGAATTACACGCCACACATGCTTAAATGAATGAAATTATGAGGCATGATATATAGGTGCATACCTAATAAAGATACACGCATGAAAATGCATTTGTATGCATATGATATGCTGAAATGCACCACACCAGTATATCATACAAATGCGTGATAGTTAACGACCCAAAAACTAGACTACCGCATCCCCTGCCTAGCATGGGGGGGAAGTCAATAGCAAAGTCTTTGAATAATCAACTAGCACATGAAACAATACAATCTGCTAACTCTAAAAAAGAGGTTCACTCTATCAAATCCAGTTCGAAGTGGCAAACACACGAGTCACTGAGTGCGCCAATGAACCAATGAGAAATGATAGAATTGAACCCCCTTTTTAAAATTAGCAGACATGCATTGTTATTGCTATGGAGAATTTACACACACATATACACACATACGCATATATACACACACATGCACGCACATATTGTCAGAGGTCCACTGGTGATCCCCGATCGATCCTAGGGAAGGGTTACAGGCACATTTGCCTGGGGGGTTATGGGCGCACTGACCCGCTACTGAAACAAGCCCTTTTATCCCAATGGTCTAGTGGTTGGGATTCTGAGATGGTATCCAGAGCGAAGGTCTCGGGTTCGAATCCCGGTGTATGCACTTCGGGCATCCCAGTGCGGGGGGGTGTCAGAGGTCCACTGGTGATCCCCGATCGATCCTAGGGAAGGGTTACAGGCACATTTGCCTGGGGGGTTATGGGCGCACTGACCCGCTACTGAAACAAGCCCTTTTATCCCAATGGTCTAGTGGTTGGGATTCTGAGACATATACAACCATACACACAGAACCATACGCATTCACACAAAAATAGTTAATCACGCAATCATTAGCAATGCAGTCGACGATATAAAGTATATAAAAACCCAAAGCGAGATAAGTTATGTCTAGTCAATCTCCCACCCATGTTTTCTGAATTGACATGTTTTTCGTGCCATGAATTAACCAAAACTTCTCTTAGTCAGCTCCACGGGTCTTGGGCTTCACAGCCGCTGCAAGGAAATACAAAATTCAAACGTAAGTTGAAAACACAGTAATAAGTTATATAATTTTGAGACGGTCAAATTATTAGTACAAAATCATCAATACACGCACATCAAACCTCCTCTTTGTAGGTGTTGAGGATGGTTGTGTGCTCGACGTGTCAAAGTTCATAGGAGTCGCACTTGACTGCGAGGCGCTCGTAACATCAAGTATGGTCTTGATGACGCGCCCTTCCTCAAGACCAAAGTGAATCTGTCAAAACAAAGGAAAGGAGAAGCAAAGAAGGGAAGCAGGGAAGGAGAGAAAAAGTCGAAAAAAAAGATTAGAGAAGGAAGGAAAGAGGAAACATAAAAAACGGATCGAAGGAAAAGAGGGAACGAGGGAAGAAATTAAAGCAAGAAGGAAGTCAAGTTGAAAGAAATGAAGGTGTACATGAAATGGGAACAAAGTATAACTGGTCACAACTCATACATAAGGTTTTAGATAGTGTAGATGATAAATATAAGTGTTGGTACATAACACATCCGTTGTATATGTAATACGCTCAACTATCTTGGAGAGCCAATCCACGTACCTTTACAAGCCAACGACCTCGAAGAGCGGCCAACATGCGTTGGCGCTCCTCCGAGGGCAAAGAGAGAAAGGTGGACATCTGAAGATGCGGGACCACCTTGGTCAAAATGCTCGGTTGAATAACCAAGCCATGCGCTTGAGCCGTGTATGACACTGGAAAAATAGGAAGACATAATAACAAACCTTATTGCGAGAATACAACATGAAAGATTGTACACAAAATATATGCATACTGTACTTACCGCTCTCTTTTACGACAAGCGTGACGGTGACGTCGTCAATTTGGGTGATCGACGAGGATCCATGCTCGTCGCATTCGTACTCGCGCGAGAGACATGATCGAAAAACAGGCAGTCGACAAACAGAGTCCCCCGAACCACCCTTGCACACTCTGCGAGACTTGTGCAAAGGATCCTTGATTTCAGCAACGAGGGACGCTATCTTCTCCTCTTTTGTTGTCATCACGAGTGTGTCCACACTAGACATCCTGAATATGAAAAACGGGAACATTACTAGCGAATGTCTTACTTATATACTGTTAATATGCACTCGTGTGTCGACTTACAGCTGCACGAGACCGACGTCTTGTGGTTCCTCTGTCACGTGAGCATCTGTGATCTCCAACGCTCGTCGAGAGTCAAGAATGACAGCGCTGGATGTGAAATTATGAGCAGAGGAATGAATTGACTAAGTCAGAGTTGGGTACAAATACAACCCTAGCAAACTGTACCCCATATGTGCTACCCCACTATAGCCTACAAACATGCATCAGCTATAATAATCTGACACACCCCCATAGGCAAAGTGGGGGAGAACAAGGGGTCACAAGACCAGTCAAGCAAAGCAAAAACAAGCTCAGGGTGGATCACAAAGTCACCACACAGTCCGAGCACAAGAGCAAGGCCAGAGGCCAGTTCACATGCAGGAGTAAAGACATATATATAAAACTAGACAAGCAAGAGCAGGTATATATATGTCAAAGTACAAGTAAAGTCAAGAAGAGAGCAAGTGAGGCAAGACAGGTACAAGACCCAGCTGGGTACAAAAGCGCTGATGGTCGCAAGGCGCAAGTGCCTTGGTGAACACATCAGCAGTGTTGGCCTCAGAGGCCACGTAAGCAAGTCGCAACTGACCACGCTGCTGCAGCTCACGAGCAAGGAAGTAGCGGAGAGCAATGTGCTTCGTTCTGTGCTCCAAGCGCTGCTCTCGACACAAGGCCAACATGGCCTTGTTGTCTACGTACAGCACTGGAGGAGAACGAGGCAGCTCTCCAAGGTCAGTCAGCAGGTAGGTGAGCCAGCGAAGCTCCTGTGCAGCCATGGCCCCGGCGTAGATCTCAGCCTCACAACTGGAGCCGAGAACCGAAGACGAGCGAGTAGACCGCCACGAGACAGAGCCGGAACCAAGGCTGAAGGTGTAACCCTGTGACGACCGCTGCGTAGCCTGGTCGTCAGCCCAAGAAGCGTCTGCGTGCCCAGTAAGGACCACTGGACTCCGCCCTCCAAGCACTAGCCCCATGCCCGACGTACTGCACAGGTAGCGCAATACCCTCTTCGCTGCAGCCATGTGCTCTGGTCGGTGTCTCCCAGGAGCAACATAGCGTGCAAGGATGCTCAGAGGGTATGCAAGGTCAGGTCGAGTGCAGGTCATCAGGTACATGAGGCAGCCAACAAGCTCTGCATACGGACCACTCGACTCTACGGACTCATCCGAAGGCAGAGCTGAGAGTGAGTGGCGAGTAGGCAGAGG